TTGGTAACTTGCATGGGATGTATTGTACAGTGCTATATATACAGTATGCAGTCCACTTTAAAAAAAAAATCATTTTCAGAGCTTTGTATATTTTTTTGTGTTTTAAGCTTTTCAGGCTATTTTGTCCACTTGTTATAACTCTGTGAAACAATATATTGACACTGCAAAGTACTTTGCAACTTTGACACATCTTTTAAAAAGTACTACAGACATAGTGCATTTTATTTAAGCTGTTAAGAGATAAAAACCTTTTAACGTCATAATGTTTTCACAAAGGATCATGAATAGAATAGTAACTGATGATTCACCATTAACCTTAATGGGATGCTTATATCACGATTAAATGGCACTTCAGTGCCTTGAAACAAATGACTGTAACAAAGTTGGAGACATAGTGTACATGTTCAATGTCTTGGTCACTGACTAGATGTCAACCAAGGAGAGTTCAAATTAGGGGCAACTGGACTTGGTCAGATAGTTGCCCTTGATTTTAACCCTCGTTGAATAACTGAGCTGGATGACTGAGAATCTTCACAGACGATTAGATGTCAAGTGTGAAAATAAATCTGTGCTGTTCCTGTATTCAATAAGGACAAATACATCTCTTACAAACATTATCAGAATTAAAAAGAAAGTATTTGTTGTAGGGCCACTGTACTGAATTGTATTAGATTGGACAAGAGTTCCTCATAGACAAGAGTGATAGAATATTTTACTCTATTTTCCCTAGCCATACCGTCACTCCCACACTTAGCCAGTCACCTGATCTTGTTCCACGCAATGTGAATTATTATTCCAGATGGATACCTCCACTGCTGGTCTAGTAGTCATACCATTTGAATAATGGATTTTTTAAAAAGTTAAACCAGATACAAACCGTGTATAGTTGCTTTTAAATATCTTAATGGATTGTAATAGTGTTGATATTAGATTTAGATGTAAATGCTGGTGATGGTGGATTTGCAGGTTTAGGTTTTGTCAAGAAAAAACAGGGATTTGGACACTTAGGCAGAGCACGTATAGTTTGTGATTTATTTAAACCTGATGATGGTAACTTACACCAGGCAGGTAGTCCAAAGAGTAAACAATTCCTAAAACAGACACAAACAGAGATCCAGAGTGCAAGAAATCCAGGAACAGGCTGAAACACTTGACAATATAAGGAAACGATCAAACAAGAACAAAGAGAACATGCAAACCTAAATACTCAAGAGGGAGGTGACACAGTCAGGGAAAATCTGTACTCTCCAACTTTCATATGTCATTTTCAGAGTCACTTGCAAACCCATTCTGCCATTTAGGCATGAAGTTGCGTCACTGAGCAACTTTTGAGACTTTTAGGTCTGCCTGCAAAACCATTCCCAAAATGCAGTCCTAAATGACCTTTGACTCAGTAAAGTATCTTTAACTTGACAAATCCTGCCTGAGTGTCTGTGTTTGTCCTGTCATCCTTGTTGAGCCTGAATCTTTGAAAATCCTGTATTCATAATGCAGCTCAACTCCCTCTTGTGGCAGATAGTGTAGTGTTGTGTGGACACCGAAACAAAGCTGCTGACCACACTTGAATTGCTCATGACTGCTGAGTAAAATGACAGCAGACAGCTGTGAGCCACACATGAAGAGAAAATAATGGTTGCTTAACTTACTGACGCAATAGAGGCAGAATGTGTAAAGAAACTACAGAAAACTAAATTATCAGCTTTCAAAACAGATTTTACTTCAAACTTCCCACATAAATATGCAGATGAATCTCTCTTTTCCTCTCTTATTCTCTGTGTCTTTCTCTCTGCTTTGTTGTCTCTTTTAGTATTCACAGGCTGATATTTTTCTTTCACAGAAGCAACAGAAGCTCCCCCAAGACACTCTTGGTCCAACATGTCTTTGACTGGCCTGCACACTATTTTATTAAAGCAACCTTTCTCTGCATTAAATATTCATTGGCTAGAAAGAAGAAATGTTCATTCCCATTGAAAAGGATGTGTCAGGTTTTCATTTCGCAACTTGAAGCCTCAGTCCTTATATGAGTACTTTTTGCATAGAAGAATTGTAGATAAATTATGCTTTTGAAGGGATGACACAAATATTTAAAAAGTGAGGTGTGCTCCATGAGCCATTGGTGGGGAAGCTCTGTTTATTTAAGCTGGAAACGCATTGAGAGTATCAAATGTGTGCACTTTAAAATTCATAAATGTTCAAATGATCAAAAGCTCAGGGCTTCAAATGATGAGTCACATTCAAGCTGCATCAGCTCTCAGCTTTGTTCAGTTTAGGAGTGTAAACAGAGGAGAGTGCCAACCCAACATTGCCTAACAGCTGTATTACATTGGAACTTACAAATCAAATCAATAAATTACATCAACTGTCTGAATTTAAACATGTATACAACAATGTACCCGCTGTATTATTTATGTTAGACAAAGTAGGTGTCGGGCTCTTTGTTTGTTTCCTTGTGTTGCACATATAAATAAGAACTAAAAAACTGTACTGGTGATTTCTTAAAAAGGCCGGGAAAGTTACGAAGAGAGGACATGACAGGCTAGACAATCATTAAACACTGATCATAACTAATTGCTGTCTGGAACTATGAGTATTTTTCCAATAATTTCACCTGGACTCCCATGACTTTAATTTTGGGCTCTGAGCAATGCACCAGTCCTTGTAAATACATCTGAGAGAAAATCATTATGTGATGCAGGACACCAGTGAGAACAGTCTTGAGGGTTTTTATTTTAAACAATGCTTTATTAATCTGCTAGTAATTTGTAGTTGATTTTGATACAGGCTTAAATATAGATTTCCACATTCCCACTTGGAAGCTGCCCAGTACAACCACAGTCTGATGAGGACCTTGCTCGAAAGCACATTAATGGTGGTAATAAGGGAGGGGCTCTTCCCTATGCAGATTAACCACAAGCTAACAACAACATTAAAGCCACCAATTCCCCATTAGCATTTTTAAATACACCTATATATTTGTAAAATTACTGTACACAGTGCATAAATCTTCTAATAAATAATGCTACCCACAACATATTTAAACTTCCAAGCAAAAAAAACCTGCTAACATGTGATT